TAATAATAATAATAATAATAATAATAATAATAATGTTTGACACAAGCTAGCATCTCCTTGCTACTTGGACAAAAGCTGACTAGAACTGCAGTCACTCTGGCAGAAGAGAAAAGACAGTGTCTTCCACCACATTCATGAAAAGCAAGCTCCTTAGGGGGTACAGGGCTGGCTACCTGGCAAAAAGAGCTCTAGTGCCCTTCTATCATATTCTTCCATTCAGAATCTGGTCCCTGAGATAGTTCCCATACTGTACCAAATGGCTGCTTAACAAAAGGAAATGATGGATCTGGAGGTAGTTCACACATCCTGTGTATGTGAATATATATAGTAGCTTATATTCTCCAAGAGGACAGATAAAGATAGAGAAAGTTCATACTGCTGTCATGGTTTGTATGCTCTAAAAGTTGTCCCAAATGATTTCAGTTGTGATATGAACAGGACAACGAGAACAACATCTGTTCCTTCTAGGGACCTCCAGCATCCAGGCACATCCTTATTTCTGTGGATTGTCACAACTCAGGTACATGCATTCAGTGAGTTTGGACTTCTTCCCCTAGATTTATCTTTCCATATGGGTCCAGGTGAATGCTCCAACAAAACTCAGAAATGGGTAAATTTTCCTCCTGAAGCAGGTGACAGGCAACGTCAGGACAGATCCTAGGAATCAAACTTTGAATTTGCTGGACTACATAACGATCATTCCCACCCAAGATGTTTGCTGGAGATTATACGACTTGTAGTCCAACACATCTGGATTGTGCTGGACTGGAGGTGTCTAGGCTTCTACATGTACATGCCTCACTTGTGTGCATGATCAAAGAGAAACATGTTTGCAAAAGGAAACTGGTGATGCTGCAAGTGCATGAGTCCTTAACTAAACTATCACTCCTTTGTGTTTTTAACCCAACATTGTGTATCAGCTTTCTCAAACCTGTTACCATAGCCAAATATTTCTAGAGGCACCATACCGAAGAAGGCTGTTGGAGCCAATTGATTTCTGAATCTATATTTTTCAAAGCTTTGTTACCATCTTTTAGCTATTTCTAAAACACACCTTTAATTGCAAATGTTGAAAGTACCTGGAAAGTGGGCAGGTCTCTTGGTCACAGGCAAACTTCAGCAAATGTTTTTAAAAACACAAAATATATCAGTAACATACTGTATATTTCTACATAGTTACAGGAGAGATCACTTCAATTTTGTGTTAGGTAACTCTCTTTCCTTTTTTTCCACAGTTAGTAGAGAAAAGGATTTCACTCCCTCTTTTTGCTTTTTGGTTACTATGTATAACCTTCTCTCTTCATCCCAAGAATTTCTAACCAAATTCTTGACCCTTCACTTTCAGATGGAATCACAAAGCTCACTGGTGCATTCCCTTTCATATGATGCTGCAATGTGAAGCTTCAGAATATATTCTTGGAGCCCAATGATGCATTACCTGGATCTTCAATGTTGAGATTCTTCATGAGCCACTGCACTATGTCACTCCCTGAAAAGAGAGAGAGAGAGAGAGAGAGAGAGAGAGAGAGAGAGAGAGAGAGAGAGAAAACACATGTGGTTTGTGGTCCATAAGAGCTCATGACATGTTTAAGGTACCACAGACTAACATGGCCTCTCTTCTAGATTTGCATTATTTTCATCAGATGAAGCTTTGGTTTAGGATTACCATAAACTTCACTCACCTAATTGATCCAGAGCTTTGAGAAGTTACTTTTTTGGATTACAGCTCCAATGAGAATAATCCAGGTTGCGGAATCTTGAGTGTTGTCTAAAAATATCACTCTTCCAATCGCTGAACTGTGCTGTTGACTTTTCTAAGCTCTACATACCCAAGCCATCTCTTACCTGCTGCAATATAGTAGTCCTCTCCTGATGTATCCATGAAGCCCTTATTAACCATGATAGCTAAATGGGACCAGGCACAGCTTTGAATACCACATGTTATAAACAAAAGAAGAGGAAGTGCTATTGCTCTCAGAGGTTCCCAGAAGTATTTGAAAGATCACAAATGAAATATAAAGGAAGATAAATGACTTGCTTAAGGTTGTGAAAGTGAGTAGAAAGCAGAAATGGGGATCTGACCCCAAAACATCAAACTTAAATACAACTCGTGGTTGTTTGAAAATTGGCAAAAAGCAGATGTAAAAGTAGTGAGACCTACCAAAGACAGAAGTTTGTTTACTAATGCACAGTGAAGCTAGGGATTCGGTGCATCTGTGTGGTGCCTACTTTCAAATTTCCTGAAAGGCTTTCTATCTATCTCTGGCTTGACAGAAAACAAAGGTGAGCTATTCACAGAATGGAGGAGGCGAGAGGCACATGGCAGTAGCCAGGGCATGCTGAAGATGAGCGGTCTGGCAGACAGGCCAAAAGTGGCCCTTCTCTTTCACCATATTCCAGCCCTGTAGTTCTTTACCCAGGCTAATGCCATTGCAACTACTTGAACTACTTTTGCTAAGAGAGCAAAAACTCCCCATATTTCACATGTCAACAAAAGATCCACTACTAATGATGTATCCTTTATTCCAAACTGTCCTTGAAACAGTATCCTGACATCAGAACCTTCTGGTAGAAGTATCAAACAGATAAATATTCGTTGTTGTGGGTTTTTCGGATTCTTTGGCCATGTTCTGAAGGTTGTTCTTCCTAACGTTTCGCCAGTCTCTGTGGCCGGCATCTTCAGAGGACAGCACTCTGTGCTCTGGTGTAGTACAACTCCTATGTGTATTTAACCCAACACAATCAGCTTTTTCAAAACTGCTTCCATAGTCAAAAATCTCTAGAGGCACCACACTGAAGAAGACTGTTGTATATGCAGTGTCTTGGTTTGATGACCTCCCTATTCTCTCCTTAGACTTCTCACATTTCTAGAGACAAAAGCTCTATCCAGTTGTTCAGTTTGCAATGCGTGGCCTATGTGCAACAAGGTGGCAGGGGGTGCCAACCCCGCTCTTTCCATCACTGTTTTAATCACGAGGGGAAAGTAGTATGAAGAGCTGGAGGCTTCTGTACCCGGATATTTGTTGTGGGAGGAGAAGAGGCGTTCTGGCTTAGAGGGAGAGGCTAGCCAGTGATTAAACTAATGACACAAAGGGGTTTGGTTAATGCTCTCTGTCATTGCATGTGAGCTCTATACAGGAACTGAATTAACAAACAGGGCTAAAAGCAAACACAAATTGTGCTTCACAAGGCAAAACAACAAACACGCTATGTCTTCACTCAACACATATGGACCACCAGCTCAACACATGTTTAGGGTCCACCGAATATAGATTTTCAAAAGGAATCAAACAATTTGTTAAGGAATACATATATCAACAGCTTTTAACCACAACTGTAGTGAAATGGACTTCCTACGTTCACAGAAAACTAGACGACTGAACAGTTAGCAGAGATGGCAGTTACTTTCGTGACCTACTTAAAAGCCTTCCTGTGCACCTGGCTGGAAACTTAACTGGTGGATGAGATTCATGATTGGTCTAATTCCGCAACACAGTGGCCAGAATTCCACTGATGATTTATTCCAGTGATGTAGATCATTATAAATCACAGAGGACAATTGCTGTCATCTACCTAACAAGTTACCAAGGCGCACAATAAGTAATATAGGCAGTAACATGCTACTTAGTGGCAGTTCATCAGTGTGATTGATGCTACTGCACTTACATTGACATAAATAACCAACAGGAGTCTGGTTGGTTTCTTTGGTTTCCTCTAACAGCAGTGCTCAGCATGCTGGATTTCTGGCTCCCAGAATGCCTCCCCATTGGGATGGGGGCTTCTCAGAACTGAAGTCCAAAGCAGCTGGTGGACCAAAAGTTGAGAATGTTTAACATAGATCATGCTTGTTGGTGACATTGGGATTTGTAAATCAAACCATTTGAAAGACACACATCAGGTTTAGGAGAGTCATTTCTTCTCTGTGGGTGGGAGTGATCTATCATTCCTCAGTGCTGATCCTTCTGTTTGATTCTTTCACTTTCTTCCCCATCAGCTGCATGTTCCTCCAGCAAGGCTGAAGCAAAGCAGTAAAGGCAGCAATACTTTCCTCATCCCGCAAGAAACGACAGCCTACAGCCTATTGGTTAGTTATCACTGGTGTCAACACAGTGTTGTGAACTGCAGCAGCAAAATATCTAGTCAATGACTGCCCACCAATGCACTTATTCAATCAGTTTAAAGTTACCTCAGGCTACCTACCTATTTTGACAGCAGTCAAACAGTAACAGCAACAAAAAAAAAAAATGAATAAAACCAACTTCCTACATGTCAAAATAATTTGGACATGTTGAAGATTTGCAGAATGTTTGATGTGAATAAACTCTGCACACTGAAACACCCACCCACTCACTATCCTTTCATCTTTTTTCCTGTTTTTAAGCCTAAGTATTCCTGAGAGGCACCAAGAAAGAGGGGGGGGGAGACAAAATATTTATTTTTTCCAGTGGTTCCCCAACTTTCCTCTAGGCTGATAGATTATTTTTCTGCTGACTTTGCTAGACCATTAATTATCACCTGCCAAAAATGATTACTCAGCCTTAGGATAATGAAAAGCCTTTTCCTTCCCCTGTTAATTACTGTCATTGCTAATACTCATGTGTCTGATCAGCATTTATCAAGATGACAGACATATCCCTGCAAACCCCCTCAACAGTCATCACTCCAAAAAGTATTTAAAGGGATAAAACCCAGCTATGCTGGCTATCTTATTGGGTATTGATCTATTTGTGGAGTTTTCCAAAACTGCTGCATAAGCAATTTTTTTTTGTAAACTGACATAAGTCAAACAATCCTCAAATTCCCATGGGCATTAATGTAAGATTTTTTCCCCAGAGAGCCTTAGATTTTTTTAAAAAGCAAGGGAAAATTTAAAATAAAGAAATGACGAATGAAGCAAGTAACGAAACTTTGCTATATCTTTCCAAGCAGGTTAAACATTCTTCTACACCTTCCTCTAACTCACTCATTCTGCTTTATAATCAGTGTCCCCCACTGCCCACAATGTTCTAGCTATGGTGTTCTTCCGCATCACCTTTTCACCTTTAGGCATCCTTCAGTCTCGAGAGACTATGGTAACATGCTCTGTATGGGGGACTTGGAAAAGCATCTAGTGTGGCTGAGAAGGCCAATTCGAGAGTGATACTCCCTGCCACACTGAAGACAAATACAATCTGTCCCCTGTCCAGCTCCCTGATTTTGCTACTCTTCCCCATCATGTAGGAAAGAAACAGAATACAAAACTTTTCTTTTTAGAGGCATCCTTAGAGCAAAACAAAGCAAAGCGAGCTGCTTATACACCGCCACATAGCACTTCAAGCCCTCTCTGGGCGGTTTACAAGTTAATTATGCAGGCTACACATTCCCACCCCCCACCCCCAGCGAGCTGGGTACTCATTTTACTGACCTCGGAAGGATAGACGGCTGAGTCAACGGCTCCCTGGGATTGAACCCCAGGTTGTGAGCACAGTTTTGGCTGCAGTACAGCAGTTTAATCACTGCACCACGAGGCTCTTCAATGTCATCAGTATGTACTGGGGCAAGCTGTGATCTTTGCCAGGGATGATGGTGGTGGTTTTATCTTCCGAAGGCTAGGCAACCCATGGTTTGTACATTAGAACTAGTCAGAGACAGAAATATGGGCTAAATGCTGACCACTACATTTTCACTTTGAGATATCATTTTGGAGGCACTAAGTGGTATATACATAGATCAAATAAATACTACACTAGGGCCACCCTGATCTCAGAGCAAACAACTCTTACCTGACACTTATCTAAATAGGGGTCCTTTGATACAGGCTCCCGAGAACCACTGAGGATCATCCACCCCACTGAAAAAATGTCTCTTTTTTCCATCATTTCCCCCCCCCAAAAAAAACAGAAGTTACTTGAAATTCACTTCTAGATGTATGGTAAAACACACATACACATGTATACAAAGAATAAGTAAAGTTGCCTCAGCATACACGAAAGCAGGGATCTCTGCCTTGCTTTAAAGTATAATCCTTGTTCCTGCAGGATAGGGATGCTGCCCACCTCACTTTATGATGGCCAAAATCTGGTTACATAAATTATGTCGGTGTAAGAAAGATGACATCATAGGCAGGGGGCAGACTGCAAGTAATTAAAGAGTCCCTGCTTCACTTCTGCAGGTTGCACAACTCATGCACAATCAGTCTATGTACTGAGCCCCACGATTAAGGCAGGAACTGTATTTAACAGCAATTACCTCCTAGTGGCTATTTCATCCAGCAAGAGGAGATTGCTGGTGATTAAAAGTCCCTGCTTCCATTCCAGGGCCTGCACGACCTGCACTCAATTGACTGCCCATGAGTAATGCAAGCTCCAGGATTAAAGCAGGAACTCTTTCATTACTGGCAATCTCCCTCCGCTAGTGAAACCATCACTTGTACTCTAACATCATTTCTGCAACAAGATTTTGGCCAATATATCTTAAAGAAAGGGCTGATGGGTGCTGACAAAGAAGTGT